CTTATTTTTATTTTATGTATATGGGTGTTTTACCTGCATGTTGGCTTGTTCACCACAGGCACTCAGTGCCTGTGGAAGCCAGAAGAGGGCATCAGATCCCCTGGAACAGGCATTCATGATTGTAAACTGCCATGTGGGTGCTAAGAATCAGAACCTAGGTCTTTGGAAAGAGCAATCAGTGCTTTTAACTGCTGAACCATCTCTCCAGACCCTCCCTGATTTTCTAAGAGCCCTTACTTAGCTGGGTATAGTGGCACACACCTATTATCCCATCACTCCAGGGTATGGAAGCTAATAAACGTGAGGCAAGCCTAGAACACATAGTAAGATCCTATCTCAGAAACACAAAATCAGTGCTGGGGATGTAGCTCAGTTGGCAAAGTGCTTGCCTATGATGCCCTGGGCTCAGGCACAAAAACTGTATAAACTGTATGCAGCAGTGCACACCCATGATATCAGCACTTGGGAGTTAGGACAGGAAGATAAGTTCAAGATCATCTTTGGCTACATATAAGCCGAGGCTAGACTGAGATAGATGAGATCCTGTCTTAATAAAATAAAAAAATTAAAGCAATAATCCCTCACACGACAAAGAGAATTTTATAATTCTGTGCTGTTCATAAATCATTTTGTTTTACTTACCTTAATACTTCAAATGCAAAGACTTTTCAACTACAGAATTTCATTTCTAGGTCATTAACTAGAAAAAACTGGCCTTTCCCCCACACTTTAATCTTAGCACTTGGGAGGCAGAAGCAGGCAGATCTCTAAGTTGGAGGCCACCAGTCTGGTCTATACAGTGAGTTCAAGGACAGACAGGGCTACACTGAGAAAGGCTGTCTTGATTCCCTACCCACCCCAAAGAAAACCTTAGAAAAAGCTACCTTATGAAGGTACGACTTCTCAATAGGTAACAATGTTTCCCATACAAGCCTAGTAGCCTGACTCTAATCCCTGGAACCCATGAGAAGAGAGCTCCAATTCAGCACAGTTGTCCTTTGACCTCCACATACTCCTGTGGCACAGGCAGCCACACATATCATCTCCCACCTCAAAAATAAAAAGTAAAATACAGGGACTGAAGAAATGGCTCAGTGGTTAAGAGCACTGACTGCTCTTCCAGAGGACCCAGGTTCAGTTCCCAGCATCCGGGTCCAATTCATTCCCAGCACCCATATGGCAGCTCACAATTGTCTGTAACTCCAGTTCCCCAGGGGACCCAACACCAAAGGCAATGCGCGCACACGCACCAAAAAAAAAAAAAAAAAAAAAAAAAAAAAAGAAATTGATGACTTTGAAGGGGACTGGG